CTCTCTCTCTCTCTCTCTCTCTCTCTCTCTCTCTCTCTCTCTCCCTCTCTCCACACCCACCTGTATTAATTCAGTATCTCCTCCACGGGTTGTGAGCAGACAGCCCGTAGCCAGTGTGTGTTGATGAACTCTCGTATGTCTGTCTGTCTGTCCATCCATCTGAATGTCCGTCTATCCGTCCGTCCGTCTCTTTGTCCGTCCGTCCGTCCATCCGTCTGTCTGTCCGTCAGTCTGTCCATCCGTCTGCCCGTCTGCCCGTCTGCCTATCCGTCTGTCTGTCTGTCTGTCTACATCCACCCCCTGTATTTATTCAGTATCTCCTCCACAGGCTGTGAGCAGAGAGCACGTAACCAGTGTGTGTTGGTGAGCGCAGCCTCTCGTTTGTCTGTCGGTCCATCTATCTGTCTGCCAATCCCTTTGTATATCAGTCAATCTGTTTGTCTATCTGTCTGCCCATCCGTCTGTCTGTCTGTCTACATCCACCCACCTGTATTTATTCAGAATCTCCTCCACAGGTTGTGAGCAGAGAGCACGTAGCCAGTGTGTGTTGGTGAGCGCAGCCTCTCGTCTGTCTCCGCCCTGGTCCACACAGTAATACTCCAGGGCCGTGCTAACTTTGGGGGTCCACCTGTTTAGATTTAGTTTTAGTAGAGGGTTTTACGGCGCTCGCAACTGCATAAGGTCATATGAGCGCCAAGGGGTGGATGTCAACAAAGAAGTCCTTACAGGAAATCAGACTTGCTCTGCTCACGTCTCTAGCCTCAGCTTCGACTATCAAGGCACCCCGGAAATAGCAGGTCACAAGAGAGTGACACACATACAAAAGGAGTAGAGGAAAATGACAATAGTAAGGATTAAGAAAGAAAAAGCACCAGTTCCCTGTTGTAGATCAGGCACAGTTATGAGCGTGACATGAGTCAGCCCATTTACAATTCTACTGTGCTTGAACGAGAAATGCCCCCCCTTTGGGAATGGCCTAAAGACACTTCAGTCAGTGGCACTGCCCCGCGGGGAAGGTCCACCTGAAGAACACAAGGCAGATAAATGTACATGTAAAGTTTTAAAAAGTTGTTCCTGCATCCGATCCCGACACTGGGGATTGCCTTGTTAGTGAGACAACTTCCAGGGCCTTCGGCATATTATTGTGGTAGGGTGGCCAGTTCCTTTCAACGCCGCCTTTACTTCTCCACTCGAAGTCAGGTACCCATTACTGCTGGGTGGGCAGGAGGAGGCTCGAACCCGAACTTTCCGCTTCGGTGACGAGTGCACTAACCGCTCCGCCACCGCACCCTCTATGTATATGTACTTGATAAAATAACCTCCAACAATTAGACCTCCGAAACAAATTGTAACGACCGACATGAGAGTATTCTAAATTTTAAAAAACAGCAATAAAGAACAAAACAGGTATGTGCAGTGATCATAACCCGGTATCCGAGACAATTTTCAGTCCAGCTTAACCGGCAGCTCAGTTAGAAAAAGAAGAACCCAAAATTTCCCAGAGAGTACCGAAACTTAGAAATGATTATGTGCAAATAAATCATATTTATAAAGATATCATATTATATTAATTGACCATAAAACGTAATTGAATGCGTTCCAGAAAGAAAATCAGCACCAGTTGCCGTGACCTCAAATCAGAGAGGGTTTACAGTATTACTGAAACTCTCTGCTCAAATGAAGGATTGGTGATCTATGTTCCATTGCTTCAGTAATAAATGATAATAAATAGCATTTATTAGAACAATTTGTGCAGCGTGTATCCCCTCTAGACAGCCGGCTCTATGCAGACTTGGGACCGGAACAAACAGACCTAATTAATGTTTAAGTCATTGCCAATGCTTAAAACATAGCTTGAAACAGACATCAGCAATAAAACAGCAGCAACAACAGCAACAGCAGCCGCAACAGCAGCAGCAGCAGCAG